GAAATAGGCGGTTGGATGCATAGCATGCGGTGTTGATGGCTTCCGCCCATAGATCTTGAGGTGTATTGTACTCATCAAGCATTGTTCTTGCAAGGGTGATTAGTGCTCGGTTCTTTCTCTCTACTACACCATTTTGTTGAGGAGTGTATGTTGCAGAGACCTAATGCTTGATCCCAACTTCATCACAGTATGCTTCAATGTTTATATTGTTAAATTCTTTTCCATTGTCACTTCTTATCTTCTTGAGCTTCACTTCAAATTCATTTTGTGCTCTCTTGGCAAACTTCTTGAAATATGCGGCCACTTCGGTCTTGTCATGAAGGAAGAACACCCAAGTGTATCTTGAGTAGTCATCGACTATCACAAGACAATAGAGGTTGCCTCCCAAACTCTTGTAAGTTGTTGGTCCAAATAGATCCATGTGGAGAAGCTATAGCACTCTTGTTGTTGACATGTAAGCTTTGGTTTGGTGAGTGTTTGCAAGTTGCTTGCTGGCTTGACATGCACTACAAAGCTTGTCCTTCTTATATTTCACATCCTTCAAACCCAAACCTCTCACCAACTCATTTTTCATTAGCTTCTTGAGTGAGCTCATCCCAACATGTGTAAGTCTTCTATGCCAAAGCCACCCAAGTGATGTTTTGGTGAATAAGCATGTCTTCAAGTTTGCATCTTCGAAGGTGAAATCTACTAGATATAGGTTGTTGTATCTAAAGCCCTTGAATATAACTTGATCCATCTTTCTTTGACACAACCACTTCTTTCTCGGTGAACAAACATTGAAAGCCAAGATCACACAATTGACCAACGGATAGAAAGTTGAAGCTCAATGAAGCAACATATAGCACATTTGATATTGAGTGATCATTTGATATTGCAACTTTGCCCAAACCTTATACTTTGCCCTTTGAATTGTCACCAAAAGTAATCCTTTCTTGACCATCTACTTGTTTATCTAGTGAGGTGAACATACGAGGATCACCGGTCATATGTTGAGTGCAACCACTATCAATAACCCAATGACTTCCACCGGTCTTGTAGTTCACCTACACATACAAGAGATCAAGCTTATTGTTTAGGGACCCAAACTTGATGAGGGCCCTTGACTTTCTCAACTAGTGACTTAGCAACCTAAATTTGCTTAGGCCTATTCTTGTTGGGTGGACCTAAGAATATGACTTTCATCTTTCCACTAGAATCTTTTCTAAACATGTACTGAGCATTGAAGGCAAAGGGTCTAGCATGCTTGGGCAAGGGTTGTGGTGGTGGAGTTTCACACTCATGAGCAAAGTGACCTTCTTGTCTACACTCAAAGCATCTCTTTGGCTTAGGCTTTGACTTGTATTGTTGTTGATGTTGAGCTTAAGCTTTCTTCTCTTGATTTGCCAAGAACCCAATACCACTTCTATCCATCTTCATCACGATGTTCATAAGTAGCTCACTTTGGAGATATTGGCCTCT